AATAGCTCATTAAAGATCTATGAAGTGTCGATTTAAGTTTCGAGAATATGAGCATATTTTATTTTGGTCGTTTTGTATTTGTTGTTCTTAAAAAAACATTAAACATACAGTATTCACAATCCAAACAAAATCAAGATTGATGATTAACACTGATGTCAGGTTGACATGACCCTCACATTTCAAAGTGGGAGGGACATCATGACCTCCGCACTATTCTGCATTCGTCTATAGTTAAAATCCCACTTATTAAAGCTAGTGGAAAGAACAATTACGTATGACTAATGTATAAAATAAGTCATTATTTATGAATGATAGCTTTCACAAAATGTAGGCCTAAGTGGGGTAAATTGAAACACTTTTTGTTGACGTTGTGTTGAAAGAATGTTAATGGTAAATTGTTATACTGCTGCCTTAAAATCAACTAGATGCGACTTATAAAAGGCTAGAACGCCAATGCTTCAGGGGATTCGACCATTCGACCCATGAGCCCTCCGAAGACAATGTCGCACCCACCCACTTTCAAGCACGTATCGACGCCCTTGTAAAGGCAGGCTCAGGTCGACATGGAACTGAAAGGAACTCAACTCAACTCGTCGACATGAGCGCTCCGCGCAACTGAAAGGAACTGAACGCAACTGAAAGGAACTGAACTCATGTCGACTTCGAGCAACTGAACGGAACTTGGCTCATGTCGACTGGCGACTGAAAGGAACTACAGTATTGGCTAAAAACATTTTCCCCGTGAAATCCCATCAACTGCAAAATGCCTGTAATGTTTTTATTAAGACATGTAATTATTTTAAAAAGTGTATCTACTTTATTTTTTTTGTTTTGAAAATGACGACCAGCAACTGAAACAAATGGTGCCTGTTTGTAGTCGACAGAATTGAGTTTTTAAAGATTTCATTTTCTTCGAAATCTCATCAACTGCAAATAAATGTTTGAATGCTTGTAAGATTAGACGTGTGGTTAAAAATAATAAAATTATTTTTGAAGTTTATCTACTCTTTTTTTTAATTTAGAAATAGACCAATATGGGATATACTTTTTTTAACCACACGTCTAATCTTACAAGCATTACATGAATCAGCTGTCAAATATGTTATAAAAATGTATTAATTTAATATTACGCGAATGCAGCAGCATACTTTTGATAGAATTCATAATTTAACACTACACTGCAGAGGGACTTTCTGAAAAAGGAATTTAGCTTTTTTTGACCTAAACCTAGGCCCTAGATAAATGTTCTACTGAGAATTTGTACAAAACTAACATCAAAAACAATGCACACTCCCAAGAATTACTGGATTATTTATAATTCGTAAAAATGGATTTTGGAAGTGAGATCTGCATGCCAGTTAGTTGTCAAGTCTTTACTCGTCGTACGTAGAGTTAGATGTAGGCTAGTAGGCCTGGCATAGGAAGCCTGCCTTTTTCTACACTTTAGGCCTAGCCTAGGCTAGCTTGAATATGGTAAGTATATGCTGTATTAATAATAATAATAATAATAATAATAATAATAATAATACAGCATTATTATTATTATTATTATTTTTTTATTTATTTTTTTTTATTTTTTTTTTTAATTATTATTATTAGGCCTGGCCTAGGCCTACTAGTTAATGTGTTAGAATAAAAATCTGGCCTATGGCCTATATTTTTTAAAACAAAGAATAAAGTAATCTGCCATTAACAAAACATTGTAATATAATATCTTTTTTCAGTTAATGCATCTTGATTACGATTAATATCAGGATCAACGTTTTCAGTTCCTTTGAGTTCCGAATCAGCATTTTTTCGCGCTTTCTTCAGTTCCTTTCAGTTCCGCAAAAAGTTGAACATGGGCAACTGAAAGGAACTCAACTCAACTCAACTTGACTCATGTCGACAAATATGCGCGACTGTCAGTTCCTTTCAGTTGCGTTCAGTTCCGGTCGCTCCTTTCAGTTGCGCGGAGCGCTCATGTCGACGAGTTGAGTTGAGTTGAGTTGAGTTGAGTTCCGTGTCGACCTGAGCCTGCCTTAAGGACCAATGCTAGGCCTGATTCCAAGCCTAATGCCCAGGACCGATACCAGGATCAATGTCGATAACCAATGCTCAAGATTGATGCCCATAATCATAGGAAATAATATTCAAATCAAGTTGCTGCTTTAGCACTGTTAGCACAAATAATGCATATCAAAGATAATAATACAGTGCTCATATAGGAACAAAGTTTATTAGAGGAAGTTCCTTATTAAAGTTGTATGAAAACTGGTGGAATTCGAACCAACAATCTCTCGCTGACTCATGTTATGGTTAATAAAATGGCCCCGAAACTGCTAAATACCGGGATGGTGTCCGGCGGGGGATAGTTTAACCAATTGTAGATAGTAAGAGTAATATACTGTATTTAAGAGTAGTTAAACCTAACTTAAGGTAGTTAGGGACGTCCTGGGTACGACATTAAACTCCATCCGTTCGAAGCGTCGGCGACTAAACTGACAACCCTCTCAGTGGCTGCTGAGGGGAGGGTGTTATGGTCACCCAGCAGCAAGAAAAACCAATAGCTGAACAAAGGTCGGCGGATGAGCTCCTCGGAATCAACGGCCAACCATTAATTAGTTTAAGGAATAGCAGTAGTTTAGTCTGATTGTTATTATTGTTACTATGATTATTATTTTTATTTTATTTTATTGTTTTAATTTTATTATTTGCATTTTCTCAGTTGGCCTATATTATTTCTTTGTAAAGCGCATAGGGGCAATGTGCAATATGCGCTATATAAATATAACATTATAATTATAATTATTATTATTATTATTATTATCTCGCCGAGCGTCACACCGTTTATGCCACAGACGATTTTATCTTTGTTTTTCACCATACTATTATGTTATGTACATATTATTATTATTACATACATACATATATATATATATATATATATATATATATATAATAATAATAATAATAATAATTATATATATATATATATATGTATGTATGTATGTATGTATGTATATATATAGGCCTATATAGAACATTGTGAGGTTCCACGGGTGTTTCGGTACGATATCAAAAGAATAGGAAAAGAGTACCATGTACAGACTTTAGAAACACTTTATAGGAGAAAACCAATATTTCGACTTATTAAAAAAGACCTGATAAAGACCTGAGGACAGGTCGAAATATTGGTTTTCTCTAATAAAGTGTTTCTAAAGTCTATACATGGTATTTGTTTCCTATATTCTTTTGTTATACATTATACATACATCTATTGAGATATTTGTCCAGCATGATCAGCTTTCGAATAATCATTTTAAAGAAAATATACAAATGTACAATAATATAAATAGTTAATAGTTGTTTGTTTTGTCTAATTATAAGTGGATGGTTCCAAGTTCGGTTCAATATTTATCTTCTTGTCTTACCATGAGATGTACATTGCGTTTTATCGATGTCGTCATAGATGTCGTCATGGGTGTCGTCGTAAATTCTTATTATTTTTTTTAATTCTGTAGCTGCATGATTCAGTCCAATTTCCTTCAGGTCATCAATGAATGACCTCATTTGATTTCTACGAATTACTCTCATTTTTCAAGATTCAATATCAGAATCCATTGGTCTTTGTATCGACTCGGTGGTAAATCGTAGAGAGCACCCAGCGTCTTAACGTCATCCTCCGAAATTACTCGACCGAGTTTAAACAAATTCTGTCGATGAGCTGAGAATGACGTCACATTGGTTTCGTGGAAAGCCTTACACAGTAGATCACTGACTTTCCCCTCTACAACACCACGGAGTCAGTAACGATAATCGTATCCACTAGGATTTTAAGGTCGGTCGACTTAAGACTTTCATTGCGGTTCAATAACTTGAACAAGCCGAACGTGGTCGTGGAGCCTAGTGGATCAACGGCAATTTTCAATTTATCTTCCAGTTCAATGTTTATCATTCCAGTTCGACACTTGTATCAGCCTGTAAAAACACACCTTTAAAAAAAAGAAATCAACATTTAGATTTAATTGATTAATAAATAAAACTTAAATTTTTCCAAGTGTGATTACCAAGGTTCGTCTGCCTCAATTCAGATTTGCTCCTGTCTCTTATACACATCTAGATGTGTATAAGAGACAGCCTATTGTAAATGGTAAAGAGTAATCTGCGAGTGCCCTTGATTTCACTGAAGTTGAAAGCAAAACAAGAGAAAAATACAAAAACAAAATTAAGACTGACTTGAATTAAGTGTGCAGATAATTCATCACCAATAAAAGTTTGTACCGGTAGCAAATATTGCAACGACAGGCCTTGTCATTGGGTCCACATGCTTAAGTGTTGCTGCTGGTAATGAGAGCAAGAGCAGGCAACCTCACCAGGTACCCATTGGTACTCCTGATGGAAAGGAGCAATGCAGATGAAGTGTCTTGCTCAAGGGACACAAGTGAAATGCACAGCACGGGATACCCCGATCTCAATGTTGGGAAACCAAACTGTTCCCACTGCGCCAAACAGCAGTTACATTTATTTCATAATGGCCAAAGCAATTAACATTGAAACGAAACCCATAATTGAATATATTTAATAGAAACATATGTATTACAAATTCTAATAGATTAAAATACAAAATACTGTAAAATATAAAAGAAAAAAATATTGAAAGTATGTAAAAATAAACAATATTCACAAGTATACAGTAGAAAATTGTAAACATGTGTGCAAATTAGCACAGTGTAATTTCATTTTGTTTCTTTAGGCACGAGAGCCAAAGAAATGCCAATAAGTGAACTTAATCACTGTCCTAAATGCCAATCTATTATTGAGTAAGCACTCACCTGACTGGTAACTAGACATAAAACTTTGACTTCGAAAAAAAACAACATATTGAAACAGAATATTAGTTAACATTATATACTGAACCATGACATTAATGAGGAAACTTTGATTATGAGCAGAGGTTTCTTGCGGCTGCCAAAATACAGAAAAATCAATAATACACAATATCTCTCATAATACTGATAGTTATACACAGGTTTATTTACATCAAAAATGTATATACATAAAAATACTCATTTGCAGCAAGAAAACTGAATTGAGAGCAAAGTTATTAGAAAAATCTGACGTAAAAAATACTGACAATTTTAGTTAATGAAGTATTTATGATATTTAGAATTACATTTAAAAAAATAAAATTACATTACAAAAGACACATTTAAACACTGTATCTAGAATTTTTAGCTCCGATGAGGAGGATTAATAGATATTTTTGTATGGGCGGCCGTTAGGGCCATGATTTATAGAACTTTTTAGGTCCGCGTCGCCAGGTTTTAACGGACTTGCAGGAAATTTTGTACACATAAACTAGAGGGAATTTCCAACTTTTTTTTTTGAATTTTAAGACATTTTATTTTAAGACATTTTAATTTTGTACAAATGAACATTCTAATTATTGTTAAGTTGGACCCCAGGGTGCTCAATACAAAACAGAATAGTGGGTTTCAGTCACGACTGTACATTCTGCCATTACCACTAATAGGACACGTCGCATGGATGGCACAATCGGTTAAGGAATCAAAAATAGTGAGTTCGAATCGCGTCTTGGTAGGTCAATTTTTTATTTTTTTCCAAATTAAAAAAAATTCTATTTATTCAATTTTAAGACATTTTAATTTTGTACAAATGAACATTCTAATTATTTAAAAAATTCTTTCTTTCTATACTGCCCTCATTGGAGCTTTCGAGATTACAAGACCTTGTTTTTAAAAATAAGCACATCAAGCATATTCAATATAGAAATAGAATTAATGTATATAAAAATATAAATAAATAGTTTACGTGGAATGGCAGTTTTGGCTCTATACTACGGTTTGAGAGATCAAAGAATATATGTATCTTAAATAATACCCTACAGCTTATGGTGTGCATAACACAACAGTACATATTGTAATAGAATTAAGATTCAATGTACAGTAATCGTATTATCTGAAAAACTCAGAAATTACATTACAAGTGTTAACAACATATTCAGTAAAAAGTAAAAGATAACTAAGGGTATAAAAATATGAGTAATAAACAATATCTATTCATGGATAAAGAGTACATACAAACAGAATATTAAACATTATTAAACAATATTACACATTAAACATAATTAAATTTGGCCAAAATTGCACTTAAACAACAATTACCTATTAACATTATTATCAAGAAAAAAAAAGTATTAAGAAATTAAGGTGAATGGAGTTGGGAACTGTTAAATACTTGGCACCTGTATTCAATGTGTTCATTGTGGCTTGCCAACGCCTATATATACCATTGTCTAACAAAGAGTGGTTGGCCCACTATCAGTACACTGTGACCACAATATGTTGTGAGGCTGTACCTTTTGTGCTTGTGTCGAACCCCACGCATACTTTATTTCAAAGGGCAAATACATGACAGGAACAAAGGAGTGTGGTGAGTGGTAGATTACTATGTAGTTAATGAGTTGTGTCGTTCATTATTTTCTTTAGTTTAGCTAATGCGTATTTGTCATAAACATCATCCTAATGTACAACATCTTCTTTAATGTTGAAGGTTACGTTTTTTTTTAATCAGTCACATGCATTCCTCTTCGTGATCTAATTCTGTAGCTACATGATTCAGTCCAATGTCCTTCAGGACCTGAATAAATGGACTCATTCGATTTTCGTTAATTTCTCTCCTCATTTCCAAATTTAGTATCAGAGTCCACTGGTCTTTGTATTGCTCCTTTGGTAAATCGTACACACCACCGAGCATCTTTACCTCATGTGGCAATAACACTCTACCAAGTTTGATCAGTTTTTGTCGATGAATTGAGAAAGATGTTACGTTAGTCTCGTGAAATGCCTTACAAAGTATATCACTGACTTTCTGTACTACAATACCACGGGTATTAGTAACAACAATCGTGTCGATTATGATTTTGAGGTCGGTTGGTTGAAGACTTCCATTGCGATACAGCAACTTGAACAGGTCCAATGTAGTCGTGGATCTTAGCAGATCGCCGGCAATGCTCACTTTATCTTTGTACAATAATTTCAGCATGTTTGTTAATTCGTGTTTATCATACCACTTTGATACTTGTGTCAACATAACCTGGAAATCCCTTGTTCCTGTAAAACAATTTTTGCCCATAAAAATTGTTATTGTTTTATTTGTAAAGTAACATTTAACTATTACAGGCCTACCTCCTTATCCCCAAGCCTATCAAATATTTTGGCAAACTAAACTTTCTTTTTTTGTGTGTTTTTTTTTTTTTTTAGCAATTGACAAACAAATATTAGATTTAAAAAAAACAACAATAAATGGTGAAAAATCAAAAGAAACCCTGAGTATTATTGTTGAGCAGATATTGCATAGGAAACTTGTACTTCTTAGCATATTATGGGAATGAGTGGGGTTTGTTTTGTTTTATTGATATAAGAGTAATCTGTATATTATTTACAAAATATTCAGGGTTCTTTATATATGTGTAAATAAGATTTTGTCTTCTTACTCAAATAATTACGCTTCCGATTTACTACATTCAAAATTAACCAAATTAAAATATAAAAGTAATTAAATTATCAATAATTAATTCATACCTTTTGCACATTGACCATGTGCATTATCTGTTTCCATTGCCATTTGTTGACCTGTTTTATCACAGGTAATGAGCGGAGTCGATTGTACTGGGACAACAGAACAATCTGAAAAATTACAATAAAATTTAGATGCCGGTTAATATATGAAACTTTAAATTTCAACTTCGTTTACCATAGCTTTTCTACCTGAATTCAGATTTTCTCCATATAAACGATATTTTTATTATGAATTAATAATTTAATGACATCAATACTTGCATACCTGCTTTAAAAAGGTTCTGCACATTAGCTGTTGACATTGCTATATGTTCACCTGTTTTATAACAATGTATATATTCATTCTTTAAGCAGTACTCAAGTTCTTGAAAGTGTGGTTTCTCAGGGTTCACGCAGACAGAGCAAAGTATGTTCAGTTCATAGCCAACAACTTTCTTAGACGGATATACCTCATCTAGGTTTTGTTTTAAAACTTTCAAAACCTGTAAAAAGAAATAGAATAACATATTCATATTTTATAGTTTACAATACAATGGTTAGCCATTTAGGTATTAAATCCATTGGTGTCGATAGGTGGGGGACGGGGGACATTTGTTATTAAATCTAAATAATCAACATGACCAAACAGTCAATGACGTCATTACCTCTGTACATACGCCGGGATGCGGCTTGCACGTTGGCTTGTCTACACCGTATGCGTCTCGCTCTTTCATTCGTGATATTTCAAGCTGCAGATTACAAGGAATTTAATTGAAATTATTTACTTTCTTGTATCGAATTTACAATATTTTGTAATATCTATAAATTGGGGTGACTTAGATGGACCCACAAGAGATTCGTTTTCCATTTGTCCACCATCTTCTGCATAATTATTTTACTTTGCTCATTTTAGTTCATATCTATATATGTTTCAAAATGGTCGAAATATACTGTAATTAAATTGAATTCTATATTGTAAAGGTATACAGTAAACAAAAACGGCAAAAGGCCTAACAAATATATAATTTAATAGTAGGCATGTTTAACAACATTTAATATTTATTTAAAAGTATGTTTTTAGGCAAAATATAAATTACTTGTTGCCCAAGCTGAAAAGGACTAAAATTTTTATTTTTTTGTTTGTTTGTAGAAGTACAATTTTTAAAAACAAAAGACATATTTACCTTCAAAGACTGTTTGTTATCAATATAAATCCGACCTAGTCTCACATAATGCTTATCATCGAATATAATTTCAGCCTTATTCTGAAACAGTTTAGGGTCATCACGGCGACCTCTATCCTGACTCAGGCTTACAAATCTAACGACCAAGACATCGTAGACGGCGTCGGGGAGAAAGTCTTTAGGCGTCACATAGATGGATACTGTCTGCTCATCGTCTTTCCTAATCTCCAATCTATTATTAGGCTTGGTCTTCATCCGAGAAGGGACGACAAATAGTCGACCGTCTTCTTCTGATGCATTCTTTATTTATAAATGAAAACAATTGCATGTGAAATAATTAGTGTCGGTGGGGGAGGGTTGAATTGCCCGCATTTGAACTTCTACAAACCCATTGTATTCTCTCACCTTACCAAAATTATCAAATATATAATAAAATTACATATACGAAATATATGTTTTGCACCTTACGAAAGCTTTTCACATATAGGCCTAGTTTAAGAAAAGGACTAGGTTTTCTGTTACAATAACCTAGCAATAGGCCACACCTTTTCAAAGAGAAGTCCAAATGCCTTCATAAGTTCGATGAAGTCTTTGATGTCGTCATCATCATCTTCACTGGCAGTAAGTTGGTTTTCCCACAAATAACGCACTAACGGTTCTGCAAGAATCCCTTCTTTATCTAATTTACGCCAAAACTTTGCCATCACTGGAACCTACATGAAGATAAATAAATAACTAAAATATAAATAAATAAAATTAAAATCTTATCTAAAGCTAATGTGTTTGGCAAAATGGTAGTTACAATTGTAAAAGCCTCACTTAGATCAAATATTTACGAATATGGACGGGGGAGGTAGTAGAGTATGGCAATGTAAGATATATGAAAATTACATCCAAATCTCTAGTGGATTCGATTGAAATTAGTTAAGCAGAGACCAGACCATGTGATTGATATGCTGTAAATATTATAATACAATGCATACACACCGACCTATTAGTATAATATAATTACTAAAGGCAGGCTCAGGTCGACACGGAACTCAACTCAAC